AGTATTGCACTTTGTAAATATTGGTGAAGAGTTTTAGATGACACAATAATTCCAATTTCAAATATTCCATTAAAAATGGAATGAGGAAGCCAGGCTCGGTGACTTAGCCTGTAATCCTGTGCTTTGGGAGGCTGAGGTGAGTGGATTGCCTGAGCCCACGGGTTCGAGACCCACCTGGGCAACTTGGCGAGACCTCATCTCTACAATAAATCAAAAATTAGCTGGGCGTGGTAGCGCACGCCTGTAGTTCCAGCTACTTGGAAGGCTGAGGCGGAAGTATCGCCGGAGCCCAGTAGGTCAAGGCTGCGGTGGCCGGAAGTGTGCCACTGCACTCCAGTCTGGGTGACAGAGTGAGACTCCAACTCAAAAACAAAAAATGGAATGAGGAGAAGTCACACAGTGACACGTGGTCCATCAACAGGGACTCTCAGTGTGAGCTCACAGCAGTAGACGGTTACTGAAAAACACACACCACCTTCACCACCTGGACCAACAGCAGCCACACCACCCTGGGCACCATGGAGAGCCAGTGACTATCACAGCACTGTACCCCTACCCTAAAGCACAGATTCCCAGGCCTTTCCTAACGAGTCCAGGATAAGCAGGTTGGGCACTTGCTGAACTGAACGCCCATGCAATGGCTGGTTACACGCTGACCAGGAAAGCAAGCATCTGGCGTCTTCCTGGAAGGGGAATCCATTGCCTTCATCAGTTCTCAGAGGACCCCATGACATCAAAATTGTTAAGATTTACACAGACGATGTAGGCACCTCAAAGAGTATGCTAGTAGTTTGGGGGGGGAAATGTTAAACATTAAAAATACTCTCTCCCTACATATTTTGCATGTACTTGATTCAACTGAACAAATATAGTCTAAAAATATTAATATGTCCACTACTTATTATTTATTTGAGAACTACAACTAAGTACAAATTAGGTTACTTAAAACACCACAGCCACGGAGAAAGGGTGCCCTGAATCTAAGAGCCACAAAAGAAGGAAAAATGGGCAGAGCAGACGCTATACCTCCACCAGCTGACAGCAAGAAGGCCAAGTGTGGCAGCAGCAAAGAGGAGGGTATGTGGAGTCTCCACTGACACCCAGCTATGCTCACGGGAAAGAGGGGAAAGGAGAAGTAGGTGGATGAGATGAAAGTGATGCTGTGACAGAACACTCTCAGATCCTTATTCTGTGAACCCACTGAGCCAGCAGGAACCAACCCCTAAAGTTGTCTCTTCTGCCACTGTGTAAACCTGACAAAATGAAAAGGTGTCCACAGGTGAGGAGATACCATTCCATTCAGAAAGAAGGTCCGTCTTGACATCTAGATCCAGATGTCATAAATACAGACCATATAATATGAAAACTTGACTCTTCTAATATTACACAAAACTCCCGCTGAAAGCCCCAGGAAAGCAGCGTGCTGGTCTCAACCATAATCAACCGTTGTTCCACACACAGGAACAGCTCTCAGCCAAGAGACAGCACCTGCTTCTGCCACACGCATGTGTGACCAACAGGGGAAACCCACAACCACAACCACAACTGACCGACGGCAGCTACTCCCATGGGACTCCCAGCAAGACACACTTCGGCAGCAAGCCAACAGGGATGGGCCCTGAATGTGCCAGGGGCCCCTGCCTAGCACTGGAAGAGCATTTTTGGTTTCTTTAAATAAAGTGCTGAGAGCGGCATGTGTCAGGCACCGAACAACAACTGCTTCTAATAAAAGAAATGTCAAAAAATGCCTCACTTGACCATCAAATACCTGGACCACCAGCTGCCACTGCAGAGTCTTGTGCCTGGGCACAGTGAGGCCATGTGAATTCCCAAGCTCTACCACAACCAAGACTCGACACCATCCGGCGACTATTCAGTGGGCTCCCAGTCAGTCTGCTCTGGGTCTGTGTAGTATTATTTCAAACATTTTAAAGTCTATTCTTTGCTCTCTTACATACTTATCACCACTACCCACCTCCCATCCCCCAAACCCTCGCAGAAGACCCCATGTCCTACTTTCTGGAGTAAATGAAAGCCATTGGAATAAGAGCTGACCTTCTTGCCGTGTGACCTGCAAACGTCCCTGCAACCCTTCCACTTGGCGGCAGCAGTCCTCTCCTCCCTCACACCCAACACTCAAGCCTGAGGCCCAGGCCCCCAGGCTCCCAGGGTTTACAGCCTCTCCCTGCATCTTCAGCCTCTTCCTCCCTGCTGCCTCCTTCTTAACACTACACATGCCAAAGTCTCTCCCATATAAAAAGATCATTCTTCCCTGGAATCTACTGTGCTCTACGTCACCTGGATGCCCTAGCACAGAGGAGAAGAGCCTGTGGAAGACCTGACTGTCTCCACATTTTCCATGCTCACCTTCCCCGTGCTTCTCAGCTGGAGCACTTCTGCCTCCATGACTCTGCCCGTGGAAGGCATTGGTGGCCTTCCCTAGATCCTAACAGACACAGGTGTCCTCTCACTCAGCCCTGCACCACAGTGAGCATTCCAGTCTTCCTTTCTCATTCTCTAAAGCCTCCCACACTCTGGGAGCTTCTGTGGCACTGCACTTTCCTGATTTCCTCTCCCTCTTCAGCTGGGCCACCTGCCTCCTCTGCAAACTCCTATTTCAAGAGTTCTGTCTGAGGCCATCCCTCCTCACTCGTGGCGCCCCCATTCAGCCATCTCTCTCTTGTGTTTTATTTTCTTTAGAGAGTCAGGGTCTCGCTGTGTTGCCCAGGCTACATTTGAACTCCTGGCCTCAAGCGATCCTCCCACCTTGGCCTCCCCAGTAGTTGATACTACAGGCACACACCACCATGTCTGGCCTCACTTTCCTCTCCTTTGAACATCGGACTCATAAAACCAGCTGTCTGCTCACCACCTCCACTTGGATGACATGTATTTATTTTATTTCAACATTCCTAAAAAGCTGAACTCTCCACCAGATCCTGTTGATTGTACTTCAAGATCTCCATCCTGCCCAGGCATGATGTCTCACACCTATAGTATCAGCACTTTCAGAGGCTGACGTAGGAGGATCACTTGAGTCCAGGAGTTTAAGACCAGCCTGGGAAATACAGTGAGATCTTGTTGCTACAAAAAGTTAAAAAATTAGCCAGGCATGGTGGCGCACATCTGTAGACCTAGCTACTTGGGAGGCTGAAATGGAAGAATCACCTTAGCTCAGGAGGCCAAGGCTGTGCTGAGCTGTGATTGTTCTACTGCACTCCAGCCTGGGTGACAGAGTGAGACTCTGTCTCTAAACTGCTGCTTCTCTTCCTCCCTGTTGATTCTGATTATTCACTGGTTCAAAGACCCATTTTCCATTCCTTACTCCAAGAGCTTCTAAGTGCACTTCTGCTTCTGGACTTATTCCTGTCCCATCCATTAGCTACTCTACAGAGCCAGAATGACACAGCTAAGATGTAAATGACCATCATTACTCTCTTGCCTAAAAACATAACTGCACATAACTTTATAACTAAATTTCAAACTTGCAGTTTACTAATTCAGCTTCATCCCTGATCACTCTAGCACCTCCATTCCCAGCACAGTGAATTCCCTTCTCTTCTTATACGCTGCACTCCCAACTGCCATCCCCCAGGTCTCCATACATGGTCTGACCTGTCTGTCTCTGCATGCCTTTCTGGCCAACTCTTCTACGTTCATAAGGCTTTGGCTTAGACGGCAGCTCTCTAGGCGACAGTCTCTGGCATGTGCTTATCTCTCACAGAACACTTCTTTCTCCTGCTCATTCAGTGGTCTCTCTACAGACTGTCATCGGCAAGCGAGTGGGATATGGGTCTGTCTCATCCAGGAGTGTGTCCATAGTATCTGGTGCAGCGTCTGGCACACACATGACATAAAAGTGATTGTTACCAGAACATGATACTCTTCATTAGATGTGCATGAAGAAATATGCTGAAAGCCTCATGGATAAATGACACTTAAAGACACCACTACCACATGGCTGAAATACAAAGAAATATAAAGGTATGAAAGATACTAAAGGTAAAAAAAAAGAAAAAGAACCCACGTGACTAGTTAAGTATCTGCTGAGCGCTGTACCAGGCAACTGTTTCTCATGAATATGCCTTTCCAGCTCAAAACAATGAACATAAGCCTATTTCAGTATCTGCTTATTTGTAACGTACTCGTACACTCTTGTTCTCGGGAGTTTTTTGTTTGACAAGTAGCCACTATTCTGGAATACAAATGGCTTAGTACAAAAGATGCCAGTCAGATTACTCTCTCCCACCCCCAGACCCCTCAAGAGGAGAAGTGTAGGCTCAGAGAAGAAACTGGAACGGCATACCAATGCTCATAACTGCAGCCCACCTTATGGAACGCAACCTTGTAGCTACTCAGCAATCGGAGAGCCAGGAAGGGTCCTCCTCGCAGACACTGCAAGGTGACAATGCAATCCACTCTGGACCAAACACATCCCCCTCACAACTCCATATGTTGAAACCCTAACCTCCAACCTGATGGCATCTGGAGACAGGGCCTCAGGGAGGTGTTAAGGTTAGACAGGAGGCCGTGGGGGTGGGGCCTGCATGACAGGATGAGTGACCTTAAGAGAGGAGACAAGGAGAGCTGGCTCTGCCCACACATGAGTCCGCGGTCCACAGGCCAGGAAAGCCCAGGCCCAAAGACCAACTATGCTGGCACCTGGCATGACTTCCACCTCCAGAACTGAGAGAAAATGAATGTTTGTTGTCTTAGTGGCCTGGTCTATGGAATTCTGTTACAGCAGCCCTGCTAACACAGTCATACTTACAATTGGAGATTCCACAGGTTCCTATCCCAGTTCAACACAATATTAGCATCATTAGCATCTTTAGCTTAAATAACTGGCCTTTGGGATTTTTTTGTAAGTGCTAACTTCCAGAAAACAATTTTAGAAAAATAAAATAAAATAAAAAGAAAGCAATAAATCATAAATAAGCATAGTGCAGGCCTACTCAATGTATCATCAATCTAGGAAAAATAGAATAAAAGATACTTACCACCACCAAGAATGTAAGAATCCTGGTGGTTCCCCCAATGTGATGTTTTTTTCCCATCTTATCTAAAATGAATAAAAGAGATATTAAATACTTTCCTAAGAATACTTTCTTTCACACATTACAAAGCAATGTCTTCCCATTTAAAATGCTATGGTAACATTTGAGTTTTCCATTACTTTCAAATCATTCCCCAAGTTTTCCAAGTGCTCATTCACACAGTGCTGTGCTGATGGGATGAGTCCATGAGTGAACCTGTCACCTTTGTTTTCCCTTCCCACCTGCTATGGCCAAACTCCAACCTCTCAGTTCTCACCCACTGTCCTATGCTCCAGGGACTCTGAGACTGGGAACTTCGTCTCTCTCTGAGACTTCCTGTTAGACCCATGAGCTGAGGGAAGCTCTGGGGGTACTGAAGTGAGGGGACAAAGCTAGCTCCGCACATCCAGTGCAGCCCCATGGCTCCCCACTCCCTGGGAAGCCCCTGAGAGGGCCACATCTCTTGGAAAGCACCTTGGGCTCCACCAGCCCCTCCCCAGAGGCCCAGGACTCCAGACCGCTCTTGGGTCCTCCTCCAGCTTCCTGAACTTAAAGCTGTTCCTTTGGGGCTCAGCCCTAGTACTGCTGACTGCAATTACCAGTTTCCCATGACTTCTACATCCCTTTTTGCAAACCCGTTTGGCTATCTCCCTACATTACCTTCTCTCTTTTGAAATGCACAATGTGCTTTTAATTAGTGTGTCTGCATCCTGACTGGCACCCCTCCCACCCCACCTAAGGAATTCCTCCTCAGCAGAGTGGGGTATGGGCATAAGTTTCAGCTTCCTACAAACCAGCTGTGTGGACTTGGGAATGTCACCAAAGCCCTCCGCCTCAGCATCCTTAGCTATAAATTGGATTGAAAACTGTTGCCTACCAGAATAAACTGGTCAGTGCACGGAGTCACTGGAAAGAGTGACCAATGTGCAGGAAGTGCTTAACAACCGCTAGTGGTTGTCATGATCTCTCCTGTGCTGAGGAGGGCATCCTCTAAACGCTGAGGGAGCCCATCAGCTGTGCTCCAGTTCCACAGGGTTCCAGTGACATTATGGAACATTCACGCATCTGGTTTGTGCCAGGCAATGCCACTCGACTGACCAGAATCAGGGGAACACCTCAGAGGAGGCCAGACTTGTGACTAGGAAGAAAGACCAGCAAGAGCTGAGGCACAGAAAGCAAGTCTCTGCTGCTAGTGTGAGGGGAGGAGTCAACACTAGTCATTTAAACAGAAAACTATGCCTCTGCTTACCTAAGATCACTTAGGAACTGGTGTCTGTAAACTGAATCATCATGTATCCCAAATTCAGATGACCATTACAAGCACCATACTAAGAGAACTAGTCTTTGACAGACTTTCTTTTCTTTTATTTCTATCTTTCTTTTTCCTTTCTTCTTTTTTTTTTTTTTTTTTTTTTTTTTTTTTGTGAAGCAGAAGGTATTTCAGGGCCTTAAAACACCTCAAATCACCATTATTGACATCAACCTGAACATCACTTAGCAACACTGACCCAGGAATTTGCAAGAGTCTGGGTTGAACGTATAGACTCTAAATTGTATGTGAATGGCTAAGTTTTTGAATAAATTCCTAATAAAGGGAGAGTATAAGAAGTCACATCTTCTAAAATAAGAGTTTTTAAAAGATGTGATATTAACTTTCAATTGTTTATTTTTCAGCTGAGTTGGAGTTCACTATAAAAAATTTAAAACAAGATCAGTATGTCTCAAAAAGTAAAAATTCTAAGTACTTTTTTACAAAGTAAATTTAGAAATCGGAAATCAGATGGTATCTACACAGTGCCTTTTGTAAGCCCTGGATAGCAGTAAACACAAAACATGAAAACTCTTTCCTACAGGGAGATCACACTTGAAGAGAGAAGAAAGACCATGCACAAACCAAGAAACAAACAAGTAAACAGTGTTGATCTTAGACCGTGGCAAATGCTACAGTGGAAAACCAAGCAGAGAAGGGGGTGGAAAGAGCAGGAAGCCTAGTGTGAGTCACAGTTTTAAATAAGGTGATCAGGAGACGCTTCAGAAACAATCACTAGGTGAAAGTACATACCTTCATTTTTTAGTTTATAAAAATTATGTAACACACCCTAACCAGCACAATATGCCCAGGAGCTCTTAACACTTCTAAGAAGTAAACAGCTATAATTATAGATTTCAGAGAAACTCAAGGAATTCTTTCCATCATTCACTACAGAAAAAGTTAGGAAGTCTTATCCCAAAAGGACTTTTTAAAAAAGTATTAAAGCAGGAACTAGAAAGTGGTCCTAAATGTGGAAATGACCAAAAATCCTCTCAAGAAACAGATGGAAAAAGTTAAGTTCCCTTAAAATCACTGAAATTGGGCAACCCCCTTGGGTTTCCTCCTGCTGTGGGAGCTTTTCTGTCCTCTCAATAAATCCTGCTTTCAAAAAAATTAAAATTACTGAAAGGTTCCATTTTTTTTGTTGTTCTTATGTACCTAAAATGTAGCAAATGGGAACCCTTAACATAGAAAGTACTTGTTTTTAAAAAACAAAGATACATTTTCTAAGATTAGAAATGTGATAGCATTTTTTAAAAGAACTAAAAGCAGAAATTCCAGGAATTAATGAATTTGAAGTTAGAAGAGTTAAATATGAACAATAAACCGCAACATGTTATATAATATAAATGTAAGCCAGATCCTAATTTGAATTCTCCCAAGTAGTAACACAAATAATTTGAATATCTATGCGACTTTTTACCTGATAATTTCAGTTAATCAATATTATCTTGATTCATAAAAATAAGAAATAGTGCTTAATGAGACCTATGAGAAATAAAACTCTGATGTCCTGCTAAAGTTATAATTTTAATAAAAAACCTATGTCTCATCTTTCTCAATCTTTTCTTTTACCATGATTTCACTAGTTCATGTCTTCTTGAAAAGACATAAGAATAAGACCTCACAGATGTGTTCCAGATACACAAATATTCCTCATCAGTGGAATCATCTTAATCAATGAACAAGAAGTTTCTCAAAGTAGTGTCCTTATACTTCATTTCAGTTCATCTTGACTTCATGTAATGTGACCATAAGATAAAGTAGACATTACTATACTCAGTTAAAAAGAAGAACAGACTAGGCCTCAATGCCCGGCGTTGCTGGAGGTAGGGTTAGACTTCAGTCTATGAGTTCACATCAGTCACCAAGCAGCCTCCCTCCTCCACCTACACAACCTCCATGACCAATCACCAGCCATCTCAGGCGATCAAGTACTCTAGGAAACAACCTACATAAATATATATATAGTCTGGCTCTGTTGCCCAAGCTGAAGTGCAGTAATGCAATCATAGTTCACTGCAGCCTCAAATTCCTGGGTTCAAGAGATCCTCCTGCCTCAGCCTCCCAAAGCATTGAGGTTACAAGCATGAGCTTTTGCACCTGGTCCCTTATAGGATCCATTATGGGAAGAGACCTGAAGGTAACCCATCTGCATTTTAAACAGTATCATATCTTCTTGTTCCTCATAAAAACTCAGTAAGTTTCACATATATCACCACTTTCATGCTAATAATATTTTTACTACATAGTGTTCATCTTCTCATTTTAAATTGCAAGTCAGTGCCAGAAACAGCTATATCTTTGGTCCAGGATAGAAGCAACACAAAACCCTTTATAGTTACTGAGCAAGTAACACTGAAAGCTTTGCTTCAGGTATTTTCAAAGCAGAGATGTCCACACAAGAATGTGTTTAACCGGCAGCCAACACTGCTGCCTCCAAGTCCATCACTCTTCCAGACACCGTGTGAGTCCAGGAGGCACGGGTGGCGCCAGAGGAGATACAGAGCAGAGCCCTGGCCTGCAGAAAGCCAAGGCACATGCACTGCAGCAACCTCAGAAAACCTGAAAACCAGAAACAACCTGGGAAATACTCACCAATAGTGAGTGTACAATAAATCTCGGTACTTGCACACTATAGAACTGCTTGCTAGCATTAAAAAGAACAAAATGTGTCTACATGAAAGGGGCTGTGCTCTGTTGGTTTCTCAGGGTGGAGACTCAGAAGGTTGGAGAACAATATGTACAGTACAAAATCTTTTTGTTTGAAAAGCAAAGTGTGTTTACATATGTGTGTGTTTGGGTGTGTATATGTTAAAGAAATCACACCAAACTTCCCATTACTGGGAAAGGGCAAAGGAGGACTTCATTTTAAATTATATTCTATGTGGTTTGATTTTTTTTTTTTTTTTTTTTTTTAGCAAGCATGTATTAATGATGGGTGGAATTGAGAAACGGCCATTAAATGCCAGCAGTCATTTTAAAAACAATTTTTTTTTGCTACTTTTGAAGAGGCGTTTCTATCGTGCTGAGGCACAGGGCTTCAGGCTTGCTCAGGTATCTTGGCCTCTGTGCCATAGTTTCCCCTCTTTACTGCTTCTCCTTCCTCCATCAGTCCAGTTCATGCACATTCCCTAGTCCTGAGGTTTTGCTGTTTAATTATCCACTCCCTTCCTTTTGTCATGATCAGCAGGGGCTATCTCCTCCTATGACTGCCATGGAAATCCCAGGGCCTGTTCCTGAAGCCATGTTCTGCACTTGAAGGCCTATCTAGGACTGTGCTGTCTTCATCAAGTGATCTAACAGTTCCAGCATTTCTACATGAACGTAAAACCAAACACGAGCAAAAGGCAAGGCAACAGGGCTAAGGCATGCTTTATGGTTTCATTATAAATTACACACTATTTGACACAGCAATTCTTATAGGAATTTAGCCCATAATATCATCACCTGTGTGACATTATATATATATATATATATACACATATATATACATATATGTGTGTGCATATAAATGAATTTGAACATATAAATGAATTTATATAAATACATATATCAATTACATATAATTGATATATAATATTATATGTAGTACACATACATTAAAAATTATATATTTATAAAACAAGAAATAGCTACATTGTATATATAAAACAATTTTCACTGAAGCACTGTTTGTAATTGCAGAAGACTGTCAACAACCTGCAGGTCCAC